TTCATGCAACTCTGCATCTTGGAGAGGATCATGAGTTCAGATGAGATGACCTTATCGATGCCATCAATGCCTCTCAACTTGTACTCAGGGCGTATAAACAGGACGATGTGGGCACATAGTGTACATAATTGCATTACCAATAAAGTGAATTAGTATGCAGTTATATTTACATTTATTTAAAACCAGGACATCATTGTAGAGAACATTCGTGCTTGAGGTTCTCTAATTAAATAGTTTCCTATCTTTGAGTTCTTGTATGAGACGTTTGAGCTTGATCTTAAAGATTCTCACAATGATATCATGTCTGTCTTTAGATTTGAAGTTTCCATCCTGAAGGCACTTCTCTACTTGTGACCATTTAGGGTTACACGTGAAAGTTATAAAAAAGGTCTGGTTACCACACTTACGAACAATGCCATCACATGCTGATAGTTCTGAATCATGAACCTTGCTCCGCCGGTAAACGAAGAAGGTGGTATTATTCATTTGCCTTAGGCATGTGGATTTGTTTCTCCCCTTACAACTGCATCTACCAAACCTTTCTATATATGAGATCTCAGTTTCACCTGATTGTTTCTTAGAAATGACAGTCTTTCTGATTTAATCATTGTATAAGCATCAATAATGAACTGCTAAAGAAGTCTCTTTGATTTAAGGATTCTACTGTACTCACATTCCCTTAATTGAAGCTTATATGTGAAGAATTTACGCATGCTTAATTTTTTCCCTTTTACCAACGATGCTCATCTCCGTGTTTATGTACTTGATGCCTGGCCTATATCCATCCTCATCATAAGGGAATAACAATGGATATTGCAAAGCCAGGTAAGATGGGCGTGCCTCATTGATCCTTTGCAGGACTCTTTCTTTTGTTTGTCTTATGATGTCCATGGGATTAATGTCTCCTTCAAAATCATTAAAAATAAGAGGCACATGGCAGATTGTACCTTCTCCCGTTAGTGTCACGTTTGTTTATAAGCTTCGTCCTCACTTCTACATCTGGAGCATTACTGAATATATCTCTTTCCATGCGACATGTCTTTGCAAGTTCATGATGCATATCTAGTCTTGGATTGAACTAAGCGCATTTTGTTTACCATTCTGAGTATCAAACGCCCTATGGAAAAATATATTAGTATTTAAATTATACTCCTTTTGTCCCACTAAGAATGGGACATTGCGGTTTACGATGCTTGAATGACAATAAAGCAAACAGATACTTGTCCGCATCCAAATTATTTTTAGAAAAAAAACACATATTCTAAAACTAAATTAGAAGCTTTACAAAGTCGCAAAAACCAGAATCAAATTTGATAAAATTTTGATTATAAAGTAAGAGATTAAGAATGATTTGTCGTGACCAAGTGAATAGGAACGGGGACATTGTCAGTGGGACGGAAGAGGTATCCGTGATAAGAAAGAGTGTGTTGAAAGAGTATTACTTTATTGTATTCATCCGATTCATTACTTCGTTGTCAGTGTCATTGATGTACAGTTGCGCAAACTTCAGAGTAGACTCAGACAAAGGCATCAAACTACCAATCTGGTGATAATATTGTCCATGAACTTTGAACACGTACAGAGCTCTACCAGTGTTGATGGTCTTGTCAACTCTTCCAGCAAGTGAGGTGAATGCGAACATCATATTATACCACCTGATATTTTTAGAAGTGTTTAAGAATCGGTATGTGCTCCATCGAATAGACCACGTAGGACATCTGGAGGAGTTCGTAGGAGTAGAAAATCGACTTTCCCTAGCACAGTACTCGTGCATACGCACGAGAAAAAACAGTTGGTCCATATATATTTTTATTCATGGTTTGATTAAATATAAAAAAAAGGTTTTTTAATACAATTTAACATCATTTAAAAAATGGAGTACAATAAATGAATATAAAAAACTATAAATCCATACGACAAATATTCGAAGTGAAAGAAAACTAAAGTAAAAAAATTTGACATCATCCATTAGAATTTGTTACATTATTATTATTATTATTATTATTATTATTATTATTATTATTATTATTATTATTATTATTATTATTATTATTATTGGTAACTGATAATGAAAAAAAATATTGGTAACGGATAATGAAATATTAAACTTAATTGTTAAAGAAAAAGTAATTTAAAGAGAACTTTTAATGATAATGTCTGATGATTTTATTTTCTTATCATATATTAAAATCATTAGTTCATGTTTTCTAAACCCTTAACAACACCACATATATGAAGCTTTATATGACTAAAATGCGTCTAGGTAAGAATATTTCAATTTTTTCCAGTGATAGAGCTTGATATTTATTGATTGTCATAACATAGGTGACAATTATAGGAAAATGTCTTCTCATAAGTTTAAAAGGTCATGAGAGAAAAAATATGAGAGGATAAATTCTTCCGATAAATTATTAGTCTGCTTATCTTATACTCCCTCCGTTCTCTAATACATGTCTCTTTTTCCATTTTGGGATGTTCTCCAATACATGTCTCCCTTTCAATAAATATACTTATGTACCCTTATTCTCTTTCTTACTTTTTCATTCTCTTTCCTTCTTTTTCCTTTACACACTACCAACTGCACCTTTTATCTTACCCCTATTAATTTCTTCTTAAATCTTGTGCCAAAGGCTATAAGGTCATCTATTAGAGAACAGAGGGAGTATCTAAAAACATTATATATGAGAGAGAAATTATTACACTCAATTTGTAGTCCGACTATCTTGTTTTATACTTAAAAACACTACATATGAGAAAGGAAATTATCTCGCTCAATTATAAGCGCGTTTATCTTCATATAGCTAAAAGCACTACGTATGAGAGAGAAAGTTCACTCACTCAATTATTAGTCCGCTTATCTTCTTATACTTAAAAACACTTCAAATGACAGAAAAAATCCCCTGCTCAACTATTAGTCCGTTTGTCTTATATGTAAAAGCACTACGTATGAGAGAGAAAATTTTTCCGTTCAATTATTAGTCCATTTATCTTCTTTATACCGAAAAGACTACATATAAAAAAAGAGAATTTGCCCGCCCAATTATTAATCAAATATTGACTCGCTTATCTTATACGTAAAAGCATTATTACATCTCCCTCCGTCCCAAAATGGTTGGCCAAATTTCCTTTTTTGGCCGTCCAAAAAAAGGTTTGCCATTTCCATTTAAAGTAAGGAATATGTGGTTAAAGTTAATTCTCTCTCCCCTGCACAAATTTCAACCACACAGTTTTTACTTTATTAATCCACGTGCAAGTCAACATTGGCCAACAATTTTGGACGGAGGGAGTATGAAAGAAATAAAATTCTTCTCAATTATTTATGGAAAAATTGATATTATTAATCCTAACTATTCAGAGCATCTCCAATGCTAAAACGTTAACGGTGTATACGTGGCATGAGAAATAACCAATTAAAAAACAATAAATACAATATCTCTCTCCTTCTTTTCACGGTCTTATGTGTTTATGGTAAGTTTTTGTCTGCAATGTCAATCACAATGTCTACATCTAGACATTGTGTTTGACATTGTGAAGAAAAACTTACCAAAATGATGTAAGATTCTTTAAATAAGGAGAGAGATATTGTATTTATTGTTTTTTAATTGGTTATTTCTCATGCCACGTATGCACCGTTAACGTTTTAGCATTGGAGATGCTCTCACAGTCCGCTTTTAATAATCCATGTTATGGATTATTTCCCTATATTCCCAACTTTGACCACTATTTTCTTTAAATAGTCTTGTGGACTGAATACCTACCAACCGATTAATTCATCTGGATACCCCCGCATTTAAACCACTGGTTTTCCTCTAACCTGCCTCTTGGCCCTCCCTTAATAGCCAGAGAAAACCCCCTTGCACCTACAGTGACATTCGAAGGTAAAGCAGAGTGCAGGAGACACTTATCAATCCATTTTTCTTCTCCTGTTTAAATTTCTCATTGTTGTCGAACAACATGGAGAGCTTCAAATTAATGGAGAACTCTTCTCTTGCTCACACTTCTCTTGCCGGCAAACTCTTCTCTTGCTCAGAATTACTTAGGAAGTTCTCATATTGATTTTAATTTGGGGAAAAAAAATCATATCAGATAAACAAATAGGTTAATTAAAGATCCCAATCAAATGGATAATTGATTATACAGGGTTCTTCTATGTGTTAAAATTCTAGGTGCGACTCTCTTTCTTAGGTTTAGTTGTTTAGACCATTCAGTGTAGAATTGTTAGCAGAAAGATCTTTGAAAGCTTCACATGGAAATTGAAATATGCTGACACTTTTGAAGATCTGAAGACGAAGAAATGCACCCCATATTCACATACTTGAGAGGAGCAAGCATCTATTCTTTCCGGTCATAACTAAAGCCACCCAGTGATAGGACTATTTAAAGAAAATGGTGACTAAAGTTGGGACTATGGCGAAATAATCCATAATAGGGATTATTAAAAGCGGATCATGAATAATTGGGATTAATAATATCAAATTTTCCATTATTAATCGGCTTATCTTATCTTATACCTAAAAGTGTTACATATGAGTGAGAAAATTCTCTCCCTCAATTATTTGTGTGCTTACCTTATACTTAAAAGCTCTACATATGTGAGATAAAATTTCCTCGATCAACTATTAATCCGGTTATTATATCTAAAAGCACTACATATGAGAGACCCTAAAAATGCTACATATGAGAGAGAAAATTCTTCCGCTGAATTATTAGTCCGTTTACCTTATATACTTAAAAGCACTACATATGAGAGATAAAATTTCTCCGATCAACTATTAATCCGGTTATTATACCTAAAAAGACTACATATGAGGGACGAAATTCACCCGCACAATTATTAGTTCGATTATTTTATTTCATACCTAAAAGCACTACATATGTAAGAAAAAATGCTCCTGCTCGATTATTAGTCCACTTATCTAGTATCTAGTACGTAGTATCTAGTACGGAGTATCTTATACCTATATAAAAGCATGTACGACGTATGGGAGAGAAAATTCTTCCGCTCATTTATTAATCTGCATATCTTAACGGAGTACAAAAAAACACTACATATGAGAAAGAAAATTCTCATGCTCAATTATTTGTTGTTACTAAACATATTGAAGTTGAAATCTACCTATTTGCATTGTATTATACTAATAATTGGATAATATTGAAATATAATATTGTAAAGGTAGAGATGCATCATGGTATGTAATTCGTGTCGATTACAAAATCAAAAATAAAGAAAAAAGACGCCACGATTACACCAATAAGATAGAGATCTCAGTTCCATCGCCATCAACAATATTTGTCTTCGGGCCAAGAATGAGAAAAAATCATTACTCTTAGCTCCCATACGACCAAATAGAAACAAAATAGATTTAAATTCCAACGTACTGTCGATCAAAGTAGAACTATCATATATAATTTGAGAGAGAAAACTACTAACCATAATCACTAACGAATTTCTTGTGCCGATCATACGCATTGAGACCTTGAATGTGAGCTTGGTATTGCCTGCAAGAGATCATTAATCATCCTCTCGGATACAGTAGTACGAACACATAAATCATTGATACATTGACGTAGAAAGTAAGACATACTGCTTTCTGGCTTCTCTGTCATAGATAGTCTGCCTGATGGATGCAAAAGAAGCCATTTTTTCTCTTCTATTCGGACAGAATCCCCAACCCTACCTATAACTTGCCTTACGCTATGTTTGGACGCGGGTATGGATAACCAATCAAATATGTGTTTGGACATTTTTTTTTTCAACAAAAATATGTGTTTGGACATTGTATATGGCGAAGTCTATATATAATTATGTGATACATTCTTTAATAGTAGCGATTACTGGCGTGAGGTGTTTAATAAATGGGTTATACATGAATAAATATAGTGAGAGACGATAAAAAAAATGAATAAATAGAGTGTACAATGATATAAATGCTATCTACTGAGCGTATGTGGACCGCTGTCTAGGCCCAATAAATGGCTTATAAATGGTATTTAATCTATTATGATGAGTATACATGAATAAATATAGTGTACAATGATATAAATGCTATCTAATTATTTTATTTTACTAATGAAGTTTATTTATATAGGCGATGTTGAGGTATTTTAGGATTACTGCAGGTGAATTTGTTATCTGATTTGATTGAAGTAGATAATACGTTACATAGTTTTGTTTAGGTAGCTAGATGAGTATTTAATTTTGAATTATTTTTTTATGATGAAAACAAAATCATTTAGACACTAAAAATGATAGTGATACTTTTTTAAAAAAAATACAATGATAGTGATACTTATTTAATTCATTAAGTATCCGTGTAGTTTGATATTTCATATTGTATCAATTTAATTTTGCGGCAGTGATTTATTGAGTAGTTTACGGTAGTTCAAATAATCGAATTATTTTTTAATATTGAAAATATCATTGTATGATGATAATGATGTTTATCTGGACGTTGAGAAATTATAGGAATACGAGTGCTTTATCTAAAAAAATGTTCCGCTTCACTTTAAATTGTAAAAAATTAAGGGCAAAATTTGAAAATCATCAATTCTAATAATTGGACTCAATTGCAATTTAGGAAGAAATCAATCTCAATTGAAATAACTCTCCTTTATTAGTATTTCCCATATCAAAATTAAAGTAATATGAGTAAAGTAAGAAAGTGGCCGGGTTGGTATAACTCAATGTATGCATATATGCATGAGTGAAGTAGCTATCTCGGCCGTGGTTGTGAAGTGCATGCAGTAATGATTGGCGGTACAAAGTGAAGACTGATATTGGCAGGGATTGCTTGAGTAGAGGATCCGGAGCAGTGGTCGATACTGTTGGGCTTAGGCCGCCGCCCGTGGTGGAGTTGCAACTTGGTGGTGGAACGAGTGGTAACGTCCTCAACAAAAGCATTGAAGTTTGCGGTGGAGGAACCTGCTGCAGCTGAAGGAGCAACTGTTGCAAGGGCATCCTCTAAGGTGGCCTTCAACCGTAGGACAGCCCTCTTCAACTGTACATGACAGCTCTCACTCATAAAAGCGCGAATGCTGTCGGCGATTTGGAGGCGGGCAATGGGAGATGAGGCGCAAAGATCGACCCCGACCTTCCAGTCGTTGACAAGCAGTTTTCGGTTGGAGAACTGGTCAGTGACGAGGGGATAACAGAGCAAGGGTATGGCGCACCAGAGGCTCTCGAGAATGGAGTTCCAGCCACAGTGGGTCAAGAATCCGCGGACGGAGGGATGGGAGAGGACCTCGGGCTGGCGGCACCAGGGCACGACCAAGCCCCGACCCGCGCTATTATTCCCGAGGTCGGTCAAGAAACGGGTGGGGAGGGGTCGGTCGGAGCTGACGATGTCGGGCCGAAGAACCCAGAGGAAGTGGGCCCCGCTGAGGATGAGGCCGTGGGCGATCTCTAGGATGTCAGCCTCGCTGGTGTGGGCGTAGCTGCCGAAGGAAACGTAGAGGACAGATGCGGGGGGTTTGGAGTCGAGCCAGTGGGAGCAGTCGGACTGGAAGAGGAGGCTGGTGGTGATTGGGGTTGTGGGGAAAACGGGGCCGATGGAGTAGGTGGGCTGGGCTGCGCTGAGGGCACCCACAGCGTCGGGCTCGAGCTCTTGGACGGTGTTGCAGATGATGATGTCTGCTTTCTTGACGTCGGCGAAGGCCTTGGAAATGATTCTGTGCATCACCGTCGACGTGTCAGTGGATTGAAGGTATGACATCAGGTCCCTTGGTTCTATTGCCTTCACACCCGGTATGTACTCTATCATGTCCTTTCCTTTGCAATTCCTCTCTGCATTACAAATACATAAGGATGCCTATTTTAATACACTCTCCAAGGAGTTATAAAAAACATATTTATTCTGATTAAAAGAGACTAAGTAAACGAGTCATATAAAAGGTTAATTATGTTTCATTCTCATGATGGTTTCGAATCTTTGCTTACGCAAAGCCTTGCTTTGTGTTCTTTTTATTGTTTACTGGATTTTTTTGCTATAGCAATAACTGATTTACTATCACAAAACATATCAGTTGCATTGTGTTGCTTCTCTCCCATGTTTTTAAAAGTTTTCCTTTACCAAATTAATTGATTCACAATTTTGTTTGCTATAGCAACGAACATATACGGTATATTCTACTTCACTTGTTGAATACTACTTCGTATGATAATACTCGACTCTCAAGGCAAAACTGTGTCCAGATGCACTTTTCATGCCATCAATAGATCCACCCCAATCACTGCCAATAGATCTTATTAGTCTTAAGTTCTTTGTTGGGTTGTACCACGGGTCAAATGCATAAATGGTACCTCAACTATCGGTAATGTTGCATTTTGGTACCTTAACTCTTAAATGAATCAAAACGGTACCTTAACTATACATAAATGTTTCAAATTGACATTTTATTCAAATTTTTAACAAAAAAGTCATTCATAACGATCACATTCATGCGTAGAGTCACCCTATAGTAATCATATGGACAAAAATAAGTTGAAATAGACTTTACGCATAGAATTCTGACCTCGAATATACCGCAATTATACTCTTTTTGCAACAACATAATGAATTTCACTAGGGCTTTACATATATATAGACATAAGACTAGATGCAGACATAAGATCAAGTCTTGACATAGTCAAGTATAATAAACACCCAGCAAGACTTCTATACACTTTTGAATAAACTTTCTTTGCTCAATCCTCTTTAGAAAACTTCTCATTCACCAAAAGAGGGGTCAAGACTTGCTTGTACTTGTCCAATTTGAATCTTTTTTGGGATGGCTTCTAAATATTTCTTTTGGGAGACAAAAGTACCATTTGTATTCTAATTCACTTCTAAACCCAAGAAGAAATTCAACAAACCCAAGTCTGTCAACTACAACTCTTTTCCAACATCTTTTTAAATTTATCAGTTATGGCCGGATTATTCCAAGGGACAATTAAGTCATTAACATAAAGGGAAAGAATTATCAAATCTGACTTTGTTTGTTGCACATACAGTAGTGGTTCACTTGGATTTGTTAGAGTAAATATTCATTAATTCTTCTATATCAAGCTCTAAGAGCTTGCTTCATCTCGTAGAGAGTTTCAATAGTCTGTACACCTTATCTACTTGAACTTTAATACAAAAGCTTTCAGGCTCTTCGACATATATTTCATTATCCATCTGAAAATAACTCATATGTTCTAAGCAGCCAAAGCAATTCAAGCTCTTATTGTATCATTTCTAGCAAAAGGAGCAAAAGTTTCATTATGGTGTGAAACACATTGCCGTGGATACCCTTTTACCACAAGACGAGCCTTCTGGATGGAACCATCTAGCTTGGACTCTTTTCGGGAGATCCATTTGACACCAATAACATCTTTATGCTTTTTTTTCTTTCTGTCAATTCTCAAGCCTGAGTTTTCTCAATCATTTTCAGCTCCTCCTCATCGCACTTGGCCACTCTTGTTGTTTTGATTCTTCTATGAAGATTGTGGGCTCATAAACGACAGGGTAACACGATTCAAAGGAAACTTATGTACTGAAGCAAGAACATCATCATTGTATAAATAATTGATGAGCCTCTTACCTCTCGATCCTGTTGCATTTTCTAAATTTGTAGAAGAATAGCCATCACTTCTGGTGATTCAGTGACCCTAGGGCCTTGTTTGGTTCAAAGGAGTGGAGGGAAGGGGAGAGTCAAGGAGGGAAGGAAAGGGAAAGAGAAAGAAGGATTTTGATAAAAATTTGTGTTTGGTTGGAGGAAATATGAAGACAATTTTTTTGAAATTTTAATTTTTTTCTTTTTACATTTGTAATTTTTAATTTTCTCTGTATGGGATCTTTAAACTTTTAATTTTTATTTTAGAATATTTCATTTTTGAATTTTTAAATTTTTCATTTTTGAACTTTTCAATTTGTTTTGCATTTTTTTACTTTTAATTTTTTTTTAATTTATAATTTTTAAATTCTTAATATTTTAAATTTTAATTTTAAAATTTTAAAATATTTAAAAATTTAAATTTTAACTTTTCAATTTTTTTATTTAATTTTTTTATATTTTTTTATATTTTTCAATTACCCCAAGGGTATTTTTGTTAACTTTTAAAATTTTTAATTTTTTAATTTTTTAATTTTTAAAATTTTTAAATCTTTTTTACCCTTTAATATTACGAAGTACAACATTTTGTCTATTCACATAGGAGATAAATAGTGTGTGATTATCAACACGTATCCTCCGAAATACCCCGATTTGGGGTTGAGAGTGAGAGGAAATGGAGGATTTCGGAAGTGTCTGACTTTCCTCCCCTTCCCCCTATTTCCTTGAACCAAACACACACAAATCACTCACTTCCCTCCCCTCTCCTCCAAAACCCTCCAACCAAATGGGGACTCGATGAAAATTTGGTTCTTTAGATCCTTCTTCTTGAGGATTCTAAGAAAAAGATAACACCACTCTCTTCTCCGCTTTGTCTCCATTCAAATCCCATAATTAGTTTTCATCAACATCAACATCTCTACTTATCGTTAACTTCTGAGTTTTCAATTTGAAATCTCTAAGGCCTTTGGACTAATTGTTATAGCCTTAAAAAAGCCCCTATCAGATATCTCTTACAACTTATGCATTTTATCTGACTAAACATGTATGTAGCACAGAGGCAAACACCCTTAATGTTTAACTGTCGGCTTATCTATGACCTATTCATGCTTCAAAATGTGACATGTCCATGACATCCTTAGTTGGAAACCTGTTAGAATATAGGCAGTGCTTCCACCCGGAAATTGTTGGGAAGTTGTTTTTCCCTTGTTTTTTCAATAACAAGCGTTTTGCCATTTCCATAGTGGTCATGTTTTTTCGCTCAGAAACACTATTTTAAAATTTGTTGAGGAGAATAAGCAGTAGTCATATGGGGTTCAATACCCTTCTCATCACATAATTGGTCAAATTTTGTATGTATGGGGTGAAATTTTAATTTCATGATCTACTTTATTATTCTATAAATTTATAACGAAAAAGGAATTACTTTCACGTGAGACCAGTGGCGGAGCCAGAAAAATGGGTCAGGGAGTCGAAAATCAATTATGTATAAAATGAAAATGATAGATCGTTTTGAGACAATGTCCAAGTTGAATGTTTCATTTGTAGTTTAGATAAATAGGCATTCATAAGCAATAAGATAGATTGTCTTTGCTCTGTTTCTGAACCATGTCATGTAAGTAATGAGTTAATTATATTTTAATTTTAAAATTTGAAAAAATAATCAATATTATGCATCAAAATTTTCTTATTTTACGTTTAAAAAGTGCTGATTTTCCAGAAGTTTTAACTTTTTACTCGTAATGAGTTACGGGGGCCATAATATATCAAATCGAAGATATTTTAAAGCTCTATACTTTCAAACTTTCATCGGGGTCGGCTGACCACCCTGACCCCGCCTTGGCTCCGCCCCTGCGTGAGACTATTTGTCAAATGTCCCACACCGGAAACGTTTGGATGAACAAAGTGCTATATTAACACACATGCTACTCCTCCTATTAGGTTGACCTTTTAGGATGGAACCCCGTGTCTTAACATGGTATCAGAGCCAAATCGATCCATGGTGTGGGGCCCTTATGAATCGTGATGACACGATTATAAAAATGACCGGATGAAAAAAAACGGACCGATGAAAAAAATGAATGATTGCACGATCCAGACGAAATGTCTGGTCGTGAGGAGGAGTGTCAAATGTCCCACACCGGAAACGTTTGGATGAACAAAGTGCTATATTAACACACATGCTACTCCTCCTATTAGGTTAACCTTTTAGGATGGAACCCCGTGTCTTAACACTATTAGTTGTATACATAAAACATCGTAAAGAATATTCTTATAAACACCTTAGCTTCATAATAAATACTCTATCCATCCCCCAAACAAGTTCTCCATTGCTTTTCACACATATTAAGGAAATACATATTCCGGACTAGTTAACTTGCAAAAATCATTTGACGACCTTCCCGATTGAATTTTTTGCTGAAATTTGGTATGGATGAACTAGACTTGATGAGGAACATACACAAAAAAATTTGAGCAAAAAATACCACCGGGAAGGCCCCCAAAAGGAGGAGGCCGGACGGCGCTTCGGTCAGGAAATTACTGACCAGAAGATTACTCTATATCATACACACAATGACACAATAGATTTGGTTACATACATTAATGTTTTTATACATTGGGGCTGTGCCCGCTCGGATTTCGAATTTTTTAATTATTTAAATGATTTTGTATTATGTTTCTCTCAAAAATACATATAAAGTATTGTCCCTCTTCCCCCATAGTGTTGCCCCTACATACATATATGCACACATGTACGCATACAATAAAGCAATAAGATTTATATATTTTTTGTAATATATTACTCGCAATAAGATTTATATTTGACCTTGATGAAAAGTTAAATGTCAATTCCCATTTCATATTAGGATTTTATTTATTCACTTATTTATATAAATGGATTAATTATTCAAGTTTAGATTGTATTGTGACTTTGATTTACTATATATATACATATATCTATTTTATACGAGTAATTATTTGGAGATAACTTTTATGTACATTCAGGTTAAAATGAATTCACACAAATAGATAATGCACTAGCAAATATATAGATTCTACGTTCCATTAAGATTGTTATACTTTTTCGTTTCCGATTATCCCATTAAGATAGTCTTATATCAAATTTGGTTGGTGTGAGTATTATACGAAGTATGTTTTATGTCTCACCCCAGACTCATAGTCATACCTACGTGGATTTGGATGCCCACTCGATGGGTGGGCCAAGTGTATAGATAGTATACTGCTCTAAGGGGGTGTTTGCAACTGCTTCTGCTTAAAATAAACACTTTTGGAGTGATTGAGAATAGGTGATAAGTAGTAAAAGTTGATAAAAGTTGGTAGTGTTTGGTAAAATGAGTGTTTTTTGTGTAATAGAAAAGGAAAGAACATTTTTCACACGCAAGCTGAGAAAAAATAAAAATTGGTAGTGTTTGGTAAATAAGTGCTTTTTTAAGCCAAAGGCTGAGAAGTGCTTTTTTTAAGCTATTGCAAACACTCTCTTATTATACCTACCCACTCTTTAGGGCTTGTTTGCGATCACTTAAGAAAAGTGATTTTGGCTTTTTTTTTAAAGAAAAAACACTTATTTTACCAAACACTACCAACTTTTACTTTCTCGGCTTCCGTGTAGAATCTACTTTTTACTTTTTCTATTACACAAAAAGCACTTATTTTACCAAACACTATAAACTTTTATTACTAATCACTTTTTCCCAAAAATGCTTTTATTTAAGCACAAGTGATTGCAAACAAAGCAATAGAAATGAATCAAATTGAATCAATGATGAGAAGTTACCCGGAGCATGGCATTCACTACCTACCTACCTACCGGGCGGGCAGCAGCAGCAAGTAGCAAAAGGTACGTAGGGTACTCCTAATTAATTACTGGCTTAGAGCCCCACACGTCGTAAATGAAATTGACTGATTACCAATGCCATGCATATATGCACCACACCATCACCCTACCTAATTGAATTGCTTCTTTTTATATATATATGGGAAAAGGGGCAAATAAGCCCTCGAACTAATCAAAAAAGTGCAAATAAGCCCTTTTGTAGGAGGTTCCGTCCGGTCATCGTCATTTGGGGAGGTTCACGGTGGAATTTTTTGATGAAATTTTTTGAGCATCTAATTCATTAAGTCTAGTTTAGTCCTACTGAATTTCAGCTAAAAATTCAACCGGGAAGACAGTCAAATGAATTTTTGAAGATAACTGCGCAGTTAAACAACGCAGTATATTTCCGAAAATCTTTTGAGTGCCTTCCCGGTTGAATTTTTAGCTGAAATTCGGTATGGCTAAACTAGACTTAATGAAGAAGATGCTCAACAAAATTCATCAAAAAATTCCACCGAGAATCTCCCCAAATGACGATGATCGGACAGAACCTTCTACAAAAGGGCTTATTTGCACTTTTTTGATTAGTTCGAGGGCTTATTTGCCCCTTTTCCCTATATATATATATAGATGGATGGATAGATCCCAAAAGAAATTAACTAATTACATTCATTTAATTTTGTCCATTTCTGCTAATAAAGATACCTCCTTTTGTATTACTCCCTCCGTTCCAAATTGTTTTTCAAAGTCAATATTTTTTTATCAATCAATAATAAAAGTCAATGTTCCGTATCAATAATTAATTTAATTTTTGATAATTAAAATTTATATATTCAGAAACCACATTAAAATCTCTTCAAAGTTGTAAACTCCAAATTAGAATATAATTAAAAAATGACATCCTAATTAAGCGAATAAAATGAAACTGTTTGACCAAGAAAAGTGAATTTTGCAAGTCAATTTGGGACGGAGCTAGTGATAAACTAGCTAGGCTACGTAAAAATAACTAAAGCTCCCTATTCACAGTGTCGTCATGCGAAAATTAAATGAATTAGGGGTGTTTGGAATTGATTCAATTGAAGCTAATCACCATCAGTTTTTCAAAATCTAATCCCCCAATTTCTAAAGAAAACTCCTTTTATGAACAATTTGGAGCACTCGGATATCTAATTATGGTCCCACTCCAATATCTGGTGATGGTTTCTTAAGGACAAGAAAGCCGTTTTCAAAAGTAGATCCAACACCCTTAACTAGTTATAATATCACCAGGGGCGGATCCAGGAAATTCATGTCAGGGGTTCAAAATATTTTTTGAGGGCGAAAATTATTTATATATATATATATATATATATATATACTAAAAATAAATTTTGTTAGAGGGCGGTAATCCCATAAGTTTGTAGTACGGTTTGCCCCTGAATATCACGTGTGGGGTGTCTGGTACATAACGTCCAAATCTTTAATTCATACGAAGTACATATTTTGTCTAGTAACTGATCTAAATATGATTACAAATTAACTACAACACGTGATTATATGTTTATAATATCACCTAAATATGACCTGTCGACTCCATATTAATAACCAATATACCCTTTTATCAGTTTTATGTGAGAGTAGATATATGAAAATCCTAGATATGGTGCCCCTCTCGATCCGTGCGGCTAATCTCCTTTGTCATTGCCATCAAAAGCAACGCTAGATTTCTATGATTTTCTTTTATAGTACCTCCATCCCACTAACATTGGGACGAAAGAGATGACACGGTTATTAAGAAAAGTAAGTTTATGTGGTTGATATTTAATTAAAAAAGTAAAAATAAAGTAAGAATGATTTAAAACCACACAAATTTTACCAAATTTGGTATGAGACAATCATAGCGGGACTTCCCGAAAAGACAAAATGAGACAATCTTAGCGGGACGGAGGGAGTATCTATACTCCACACGGGGGCGGACGTACGTTATTACTTATTACCAGGGTAATAATGATAGGCTTCCCCTCAAATACCTTCTCTAGTCTATGTGGTAGTAATGATAAACCTAAGCTTTCTTGCAAAGCTATAGGTCGCCGGTTCAATACTCACTGGTTCTACATGTGAATTTTACTTTTTGAAGTGCTTCACCCACTCACACAGTCATGTTTTTTATATTTTATAAATATAAATGATCAAATCGTTTTTATATGTTTCATGAAATAATTATATATTTATGATTAAAATCGATATTGTTTACAAAAATGTGCCTAGTTACTATAGTAGTAACTTAATTATAATAAATTATGTTCAATGTTTAAACTTAAATGACCATGATATTATATTGTAGTAACTAATAGTTCTATTTGTGTAAATAAATTTTGTTTTAGTAATATTGTTGAAAAAGCTCAACTGCTTCTTCATTTTGTTATCATGTAGAGTACTATATTTCCTATAATTGCAACAGTTGAACTTTACATCATCTTCTGGTGTTCTACTTTGATCATATTTTATTTACTACAAAGTAATAAATTTGAAATTTAAAATATCAACTTTTAATTTTGTATTAATCTCGAAATGTGGTTAATAAAGTAGTGCATTGAATTGGGAATTTGAAAATGAAAGCTAAGTATTGCAAAATATGAAAGTCGATCCTAGGGAAACGAAATGAAAGTAGGCTATACTCGTATATGATATGATGGGGTTAATATAATACTATGTATATAATGAGTCCGATCCGTATAGTAGTTAAATATAGTACTCATGTCAGGTACTAACTAACCTTGATGTTGAGCAGCGGCGAAATGGCCATTTTTGTGGAGCAAGTCCAGGTGATAGTAGAGACACAAAACCAGGGCCGGCTCCGTCCAGAACGACACATTCACCAGGTCGTACTTGCCGGCGATCACGGACGTCCAGGTGAAGAAGGTGTCGGCGATCAAGCACGTCACCGGCGGGTCGGCGGAGCGGGCCAGGTCCCCGACCACCTCATCCACGTGCGCAGAGAAGACGTGGAGAAGGCCCTCCTTGAACTGGTCGTGGTTCAACGACCGGTCAAACCCCAACGGGAACCCGTCCGAGACGGTGACGTACCGGATGTCCAGCCCGGATCTCCAGTCGCCGCCGCCGCCGGACTTGGAGATTTGGGAGTGGACGTGCTGGGTGTTGACGAAGGTGACGGTGAAACCGGCGGTGGAGGCGAGTTTGATGGCGAGGTAGACGAAGGGGGTGACGTGGCCTTGGTATGGGTATGGAATCATTACGGCGTGAGGCCGTTTTTGCTGCTCCACACCTCCACCTCCCATTTAATTATCATATGCCCACCTGCACCCTATACGTACTTTATACACACACACACGTCTCACTCCCAACTCCGCCTCATGAACTACTTCCCAGGACATGTCTTAATTAAATTTTCCGAGATCCAATTATGAAAAATACTATCATAATTAGAGAAAACAGGGAAAGATTCAAATTAGATCAGAAAGATTCAGATCATATCAGAAAAATTCAGATCAGATCAGATCTGAATAGGGGTAATAAATATTGTAAAAAAAGTACAAGAGATAGTTGAAAAGTATGAAAGAGAGAATAAAGAGTCAAAAAAGTAATGGTAATATTTTAAAGAAAAAACTTATCAAAAAGGAAAAATATAGTAAAATTTTAAATACATCCATGAAAGGAAAATGTAGCAAACTTTAAAATCTGATGCAGTATTAGATATCCCAAAAAAGGAGTGTTATATAGGCTTTTTTCTTGGTCAATATATTTGATTGAAATATTACCCGCATCAGCAGGTAAAAAGGACCTGATTGCATCATTTTCAATGAGTTGGGGGGTGTATTCGCAATTCTTCAAGTTCAGGGGTCTGATTACAGAGTTGCAAATAGTTGGAGGGTTTATTTGCCTTTTTTCTCAAATAATTATAATTTGCACATGATCAGCCTTGTATGTTTGAAGGTCTAGGGATGGTGAAATAAAAGAAGCCTAATGTTAAAATTTTGTAAAACCCTTTTCTGTCTAAACTAACAACATACTGATAATAATAATATTTCCTCCGTTTTTTTTTAGTTGCAACATTACACACAACTTTGATTATTATTTTAGTTAATTTTGTATTTTTAAAAAATAATTAAAAACCATATTATGAAACATAGTATTGAGGCGAATTCAACAATATTTTAAAAAAAAATAGTTCGCACAAAATAATAAATAAAACGTAGTCAAAGTAGTATACATGAATAGTATATAAATTCCAATATTGCAACTAATGCAATGCGGAGGATATAGTATTTCAATACGTTTATAAAAACTGTAAAATTTCTTTAGTCTAAATCAATAATATTATAAGGGGTGTCATAATATTGGTGGTCCTTATTTACGAAAGGAAAACAATGATGGTTTTATTTGTGCTTTTTATCAACGTTTAATGGGAAAAGGTACAAATATACCCTAAAATGCATATATATACCCCTAAACTTTTTAAAAGTATCAAAATACTCTTCATGTTCTTATAAAAGGGCGGATTGACCCTTATTGACTTTATGTAGATAAAATAAATTTAAAAACAAAAACAAAAATAAATTATAAATTCAAAATTTAAAAATAATATTTATTATTATGTTAAAATATTAACTCTTTAATTTTAAATTGCAACACGTATTTTTTTTGTTGCCTGAATTGCAACACGTATGCTAACACTTTTTCGAAAGAATCTTAAATATATAGTAAAATTTTGAAATAATATTTTATACTAACACTATTAAATTTTGATATAGAAACAATAAAAGAGAGAATTGGACACAAGTACATTTTAAAAAAAGTTATTTTTAAATTTCGAATTTATCATTTATTTGTGGTGTTTTTTAAATTTATTTTATCAATTTAAAGTCAATGTGGGTAATTCTGTTCCTTTATAAGAACATGAGGGGTATTTTTTCACCTTTAAAAGTTCAGGGACATATACGCACTTCCGCATAAACTTCAGGGGTATATTTGTTCCAATGGGGCCAGGTGATGAAGTCGAGAGCCTCGAAGAGAATGTCAACACGGTCGAGCAGTGGGCCTGACCTTGTGCTTACTTGGACAGTTGGACCTAGAATCAGTAAGGCAGGGTACGCTCGTCTAAGACCTTTGACGGGAAAGCAAGATATAGGCGGGAAATTCATTTAATGCAGTAGATTTGGTGGTTGAGAAACTAGCCACTCAAGAACCTTCGCATCACCACTACGACATATCCTTTGGTAGTATAAATAGTACTCCCTCCGTCCCTAAAAACTTTGCCAAGTTTGACCACCATGAAGATTAATAAAGTAAAAACTGTGTGATCGTGGTTTGTCAGAATGCTCTGCTATCACGAACGACGTGTCGACAAAGTGTTTTATGATCGGGACCACCGCCCTCAAAATTCGCTGACAACCAGCAAACATAGGTCTTCCGGGCCATAGAGTTCGACCATTTCTTCCCCACGGAGGTCCGATCGGTTGGCTCTATCCCCTTGTCACAACGTTCGGGACGAGGAAATCGTTCAAGGAACTTCTCGAACGATTCAGCTAGATGCTCCTAGGCATACTCATCGACGACCTTGGAGAATTCCTCGGAGGACCAGTATGCAGCATGAACGGCCGACAGATCAACGCTCACTTCCCGGGGGCCGTCCGGGATATATCTGGGACTCAATTTCCTTGAAAGCGATATGATCGGCTTCAGCTGCTGCCAACTTAGCCTGGGAAGCGTAAAGATGCACCCGGAACTGACCCAGCTCCAACTTCTCCTTCTGCCACTCCTGATCGGCGGACTGGATAACACCAACACAAGTCTGCTCTGCCGTTGTGCGAGCATCCATCAATTGATGCTCCCTTTTCCTTACGGGCGACACGCAGTTGCAGCCTATACAGACCGCCCTACATAAAGGATGATTAGAATACAAATCTTGGAAGAAACATATGATATTGAACGGAGGAAATAGATACCTTCAGAGCCGCAAGATAGACACCCTCCTCAGCAACCTCGACCGACATGGGGTGGGAGGACTAGATCATTAATCATGGCACCTGCGCTCCATATCTGGCTAACTGGGCACCCCCGTGCTCCAGAACCTCGTGGATGGGATCAACGAGTGTGATCCGTTCAAGGCATTTAGAGAGAGAGGCCCGTACGACCTCACTATCTTTGCCCATCGTCGCATGTAGCGGCTGGACAAAGAAGGACATAGAGATCCCCGACTCGAACAGGGGATCCACCATCATCTTTTGAGCGGAAAGAGGATCCTGCTGCATGGCTGCAGCCATTTGAGACCCGCCCGATTCATGTGTCTGGACGGTTAGTTGAGCTACGGATGAGGTCTGACAAGGGGCCTAATGCTTGCCTTTCCTTTTACTCTTGTTTCCGCCATCAATGAAAGCCAACCAGTTGTCATCCATAGTCGTTGCTTCGGGATTGGGAGCTAGAAAATCAAACAAAGGAATTAGTATCGATCGGTCAATCATGTGTGAAATATGGAAATGCAAGTAAGTTTCGCACACGAGAAGAACCGCCCAGGCCATGGTACTTGGGTTTTAGTCAAGAACTCTAGGAATTCGGTCGGTACCTATCCTGGCCTTGATCAGCCGGTCGGGGGTCAGGTATTCCAGAATCTGGGATGTTCTGCCCCGTTCCAGAGCGGCAATCTTCTCCCCAAGAGACGAACGGTTCCGTGATTTTGGGCGGATAAGCATTCCAACTCTTCGGGATAAGGCCGTCCAGTACAGAAACAAAAAAAGAACCGATCTTTCCAGCCTTTGATCGAAGACAGGTTCCCTTTGAACAAAACCCTGCCCGTTACGACCAAATACCTATGGGTTTGCTGGGGGCAACTTTGAAAAAATAATGAAAAATGTCCAGATTGGACGTCACATCTGCATCGACACACCGACAGATGGACCCGACCGTCACTTGATAGGAGTTAGGCATCATTTGGGCTTTAACCACCTCATATCGATTTAGAAGCTCAATGGAAAATGGGTGTAGCAGGAATCATAGTCCGGGCAGAAAAAAATCATAGTGCACCACCACCATCCCCGGACGGTGCTGCAGCGGGTGGAGCCCGACATGAAGACTGAAATCGATCGGGTCTGGGATGAGATTCAGAATCCGGGTTCTAATTTTTTGGAGAGCTTTTGCCTCCTTTTCCTAATGGTTTTTAACTTCAATTTATGGCGGGGAGCATCGTCCGGAGGGGGGGCTAACAACCGCCATATCATCGCCAGCTTTGGCGTCGTCACAAGAGCGTCAGAAAGAACGACATCAACCTTAGTCTCAACAGCGGCATTAGTGATCGCCGTGGCATTAACAACAATATCGGCAACATTCCCCCGAACCGTCTCCTCAATGGCCGAATCCGAACGGGATGAGACATAAGAATGGAGGACGAACTCTCGGACATTTTGTCGAACAAAGAATCAAATTCGAAAGAAGAAAGTGAGCATGCCCAAAATTATCTGAACGGATTCAAAATTAGGCTTGTTTAGAGATAAGCGAGAGCACGCTAGAGAGAGAAGCAAAGTTTGGAAACCCTGAACTAATGACCCAAGGCCTCTATTTATAGGTCAAAGCGCCGTTTCACCGACCAATGAGAAAAAGACACGTAACAGGGAGCGCTTCCTGGGACACATGTCAAGCGGAGAAGGAACATTAGGTAATCATGAGTTTTCCTAGGGAAACCAACCAACGGTCGCAAAAAACCGTCAACTCCCTGCATCGGGAATCTATGAGGCTCACCCCGAACGAAGCACTCCGAATGGTACAGAAGCCATTTCTCTGCTTCCTTATGCCCCAAGCACGCTCGGAACATCAGAAATGGGGGACTTGTGTTAGGATATTATGGTCAACCCAATAACCCGACACAAAATATCCCTGAGGCCCAAAAAAGTAGCGGAGCCCAACGAATACTAGACATGAACAATGAACGCCCAAACGGCCTCTTCCCAATTGGTTATTTCCCGTTCGGCCGAACGGACGGGATAACATACTTGGCAATAAAGAGCACCACCCATGTAGGATCAACCCAAAAGAGCTGGTGGGATGCCTTACAAGTTAAGAGGAAGGGGAATTTAATGCGGGAGGTATGGGGAGTCAAGTGGCAGAGAGGTCATCCAACTAGAATCGACCACATCATCCCCCTCACTTATTCACTTTTAGTATAAATACCAACATTTATTTCATTGTAAAGGGTTAACATTTTGATACCCACTAGTATTATACCTCTCCTTAACTCTTGTATTAGTACTGAACCGGAACCCCCGTTTGGCCACTCCCTTGTAACCAATATTCACATCTTAATACAGTTGGGCTATTGAGACATTTTGATAGTGGACCATCTTTCCCCTTTTGTTTCTTTCATAAGCCTATTTACGATAACCAAAGGGTTG